AGCTTAACCGTTGCCGCGTTGTCTCATCAAAACATCGCTTGATAACGCACGACCGTGCACGAGCGTGCTAAAGCAGAAACTTCGTCACCGCCGGCAAACACTTCGTTTAGAAAACATAATAAGTGACAAAAAGAGTTGTAGAGGTAATTTGTACCATGACGTCGCATTTATTTCCTTTTTCGAGGAAGTTCTGCACGTCAGCAGTCGCACAGTTATACAATATGCTCGAAAGCGGCTAGTCCCAACTCGGGATTTTATTGCTAAGTTATGTCGTATTCCCGGCAAGTATGCATTAAATAACTTGGACTGCATTCTAAACATATTGAATATATGAAACGGTAGTCATGCGCCGACCTTTGTTTTATATATCTGTATATGCATATAAATATTTTTCGTGCTGGCCACCAGAGCGCATGAGTAGTGGTAGTGCGCCATGTAGTGCACAGTGCTACGTTAGTAGGGTCAGCGGCGTTGGCTAGTGCTGTCAGTCGCTACGATCAGTTCTGCTAGCTTGTGTGCGGTGCACATGGTGCGGTTTTGACGCGAGCCTTTGTAACCTGTGATGGACTCCCGTCGTTAATAAGTGCCATGGCAGATAGCGGAGGTTATGACGACTCGCCTGCGAAACGGAGTAACAATCAAGACACGGCGTCGAAACGAAGGGAAAGAAGCGCTATCTGGAAGACACTGTCGTCGTTGGCGCAGTGCAAGACATGCGGCGCAACACTTAAAACGCCGACGAGTACGACTAGTCCTCTTGTTAACCATCTAAAACAGCACCCAACCGCGATGAAGGAGTACCGGGTGACTGCAGCAGGTGCGCCAGAGAAAGACCAGTCAATGATATTTGATTTTGTGCACCGTACTGACCCTTTGTCGGAAAAGAAAACTCAAGTACTCAATGCCAAGGTGGCTGCCATGATAGCGCTTGATTTGCAACCATATAGTTTTGTTGAAAACCGCGGATTTAAGGAACTCATGGCAGAGGCTGTGCCTAACTATCACCTACCGTCGCGTACCACGCTTTCACGTACCCTTGTTCCGCGCTTGTTTGATGACACACGGAAGAAAGTGAAGGACGAGCTCAGCAGTGCTTTTGAAGGGAGAACATCTGCAGTCACCTTTACCAGGGACATGTGGACATCACGCGCCAACGAGAGTTATGTGAGCTTCACTTGCCACCTTCTCACTCCAAGTTTTAGGATGAAGCGGTTCACGCTTAACACTCGCCACATGGCTGTTCGCCACTCCGCCGAAAACATTGTGCAAATGCTTGTCGAGATGTGCGCGAAATGGGAAATACCGGATGGCTGCCGCAAATACATCGTCACAGATAACGGACACAACATCCGTGCCGCGGTCAGAAGGCTCCCGTGGACTGTGCGTGCGTGTTTCGCCCACACCCTGCAGCTAGCAATTCACGATGCAATCTCCAACACACCGTCAATTGACCATCTGTGCAAGAAAGCAAGGCACATCGTGGGCCACTATAAGCACAGCTCGTCTGCGCAAAAGAGATTAGATGAGTACCAGAAGAAGATGGGCAAGGATCCACTTCGTCTGGTGCAAGATGTAGATACGAGGTGGAACAGCCAATACCTAATGCTGTCCCGCCTCTTGGACTTGAAGGAGGCTGTCTCTGTTGAGCTGGCAACGTCAAGTAGCAGCATTGATGGTCTCTGCTCAGCAGAATGGAAAGAGGCTCTTGAATATCTGGACACACTGAAGCCCTCATATGATGCAACTGTGATAACTAGCGCAGATAAATACCCATAACTTTCCACTCAGATACCAATTATTCTTGGTATGCTAAGTTGCCTCAGCAACTTTAGCGGCACAACAGGTTTTCATAAGGAACTGGCAAGGTCTCTAAATACCAGATTCCCCTTATATACCGAGGACAAAGAAGCATGCTTGGCTATGTTTTTGGACCCACGCTTCAAGTCAACGGTATTCAGAAACAACAAACAAAAGTTGGTGTGGCTGAAAGATCTGGTGCTTCAGGATGTTGCCCTATGCCCTGTTGTGGAAGTAAAGATCTGGTGCTTCAGGATGTTGCCCTATGCCCTGCTGTGGAAGTCGTGGAGCCAGCAGCAAAAGTGCAGGAGCCACAACAGTGTGTGCAGCCATCCTCTGATGTTTGGAGTGCATTTGATAATCTTGCAAATAGTCAAGTAGCAAGTAAACCACTGTCTACTTCAGAATGGGAAATTAAAGCATATTCTGAAGAAGCCCTACTGAAGAAAGACAGTGACCTATGTGACTGGTGGCGGACTGTGGGCACCTTCAGATACCCCAGTCTGGCAAAGCTTTGCCCCAAGTACTTGCCCATACCAGCCAATTCAGTTCCAAGCGAGCGTGCCTTTTCAGTGGCAGGGGAGGTTGTCTCTGTTCGGAGGGAGCGCCTCCTGCCTGATCATGTGGAGCAACTAATATTCCTCTATGATAACATGTAGTTATTATGTTTCATGATAACAGCTAGTCATTACTTGTATTGTGTTCCAAATAACAGTGTATGTTGTGTTAACAGACAGGCTGTTGTGTATTTTTTTAGATAAATACATCTTCTTAAATTATTGTTACTGTAGAGGCATTTGTCCTTTGATATTCGATATTCGATTCGATATTCGAACATGAATATTCGTATTTGATTCGTATCAGAAAAATTTCATATTTGCGCACCCCTAAATTTAAGTGTGTCTCTTGTACACACAGCACTTTTGGGGAATGTTTGTGTAAGAGTTCCTGGATATCATCGAGGTTTCTAAGCAGCCCTCTGACGTTCCATTGTATTATTTCTGTATCCATTTTGATTGTAAATGAGTGCTGTGTGTACTAAAGAAGTATTGCGTCAAGTCAAGTAGCCTTGTCAGGCCCCGTAATGATGGTTTTTGATTTTCTGGCGCGCTCCAAAGAGCCGCGCCTGTTCTTCGGTGCTGAAGACATCGTTGGACTTGCTGTTGTGTCCATCACCTTGGACGAGGTGCTGGATGCCCGCTCGCGGTTCACTTGTGAAGGCATGGAGGTCTTAGGGCAATCTGTGGAGACAGAAGGCCCTGGGGCTTCAGGTCCCAAGGCCTGCAAGCCTTTTGGTGGTGGAAGAGCCTGTGCTACTTACGCTGAGGTGGTGAATGGCGCTTCCGCTCGTCCACTTTGTGTGGTACGTGCGGGCGCCACGGATTTTGGCGGCACTGCCCCCTTTCGTGCCACCTCCGCGAACGAAGGTCCCTGCATTAGTAGACGCTTGCGCACCTCCCTAAATGAAATGTTTTCATTTACTTTCAATGTGAGTACTTCTTTTTCATGTTTCCATGTAGGGCATGTGCGAGAGTAAGCGGGGTGTCCACCATCGCAGTTCGCGCAGTGTGTAGTGGTTTCTTCACAATTGTCTGTGTTATGTTCGTGCGAACTACACTTTGCACAGGTTTGACGGCCGCGGCAGCTCTGAGAACCGTGGCCGAATCGCTGGCACTTAAAACAACGTCGGGGGTTGGGGATGTAGGGTTGGACCTTTAACTTCAAGTAGCCGGTTTCGATATATTCTGGAAGTGTGCTTGTGCAAAATGTAAGAATGAGGTGCTTTGTAGGGGTTTCTTTGTTATCATGCCTAATCTTAATTCTCTGTACATGCGTTACATGCTGTTCAGTCCAGCCCTCAAGTAGCTCACTCTCTGTCAGGTTAATTAGGTCTTGATCGGACACTACGACTCGGGAACTGTTCAGGGAGCGGTGCGGTGTGATAGATACAGGTGTTGCCCCAAAAGAGGTGAGTTTTGTCAGGTTTTCATACTGGGTCTTGGTTTGGACTTCAAGAAGAAGGTCCCCACAAGCCATACCTGTAGCCTGATATCCTGGACCTAGTGTATTGGTGAGGCATTTAGAAACGACAAACGGAGGAATGGTTCTTGCATTCTTTTCTTGCATTTCACAGTGGATCACATGGAAGAGCGACAAAATTTCTTTCGGCTTTATAAATACATTCAGTATTGCTTCGGTGCGCCCCCTCTTAAGAGGAGGGCGATCAGACAATTTAGGAAATGAAAAAGAGGCCATAAAGTATATATAGATTCGGCAGCCATGCCAGCCGCCCACCATCGAGCCCAACATGGGGACGCGGCAGCACAAGGCATGCCAGCGCCAGTTGTACAAAGCCACTATAACAAAATATTATGTGACCAAGAGAGGGCACATACACAAGGTTAACCCTTGCCGCCTGGAAGATGGAAGTACCAGAAGTGAGGAGATGACAGGAAAGATTGGAAGAGAGAAGAGATGAAGATAAGTAGGGAGAGAGAGACAGGAAAAGGCAACTGCCGATTTCCCCTGGGTGGGTCAGTTCAGGGGTGCAGTCTACGTGAAGCCGGGGCCAAAGGGGTGTGTTGCCTCTGCTAGGGGGCCTTAAAGGTCCAATCACCTGGCGTCGGCTCAACCCCTAGAATCCCCTTTTCCCCGGACACGGCAAAGCCACGCACGGCTAGGCATGGAAGGGAGTCAAAACCCCCCCGTTAGCTCGGGTCCGTGGTGTCGCTACACACCAAACGCTTGCTTACGCAGACGCCCCTGCGGGGTTGTTTTGTATTCTCGTGCAAACATTTCCAGTTGAAAGTCAGCGCTGTGTGTGCGTGTTCATGATGGCAAATTTAACAGCGCGCAAACATAGCAACAGATTGGGACAGCAAAGAAAACTGTGCTGAATTTCCACTAGGTATTTATTTTCAAGAATGGCAAAATATATACGTACTGATAAGAATAAAGACAGGCATAATCGTGCATCGACAGTGAAATAACAACTCATGTTCACGATGTCCATGTTCAGTCGTACTGTTCAAACTGAGCATAATAAACAAACTAACTCATTGATACATTTAACTTCATAATTCTCCCCTAAGCCACCCAATATTCCCAACTCTGTATAAAAGAATGAAAATACTGAGAGGAGCATAGAGAGGGTAGCCCACCAAAATTAGTTAATGGAACCACAGTTTGGAGATGCGGCTTACCTCTACGTAGCTGACAGGGAAGATTCCAACCAGGCCGTGGTGCTCTCCCTCGTACCAGTTGGCATCTACTTTGCGCCGGATGAAGACGAGGTCACCCTTGCGCAGGTTGATCTCCCTGCCAAGGAAGAGAAGACAAACATCCATCAATGCAGTGGACAAAATTTCCTGCAGCCAAACAATGCCTCAACAGCAACACGAGGACAGCATGGGCAAAGCAAAGTATGCAGCACTAAGCAATGCCAACATTCAAAATAAGTGTACTGTATAAACCCACGTATAGTCTGCACCCACATTTGAGGTGTATTTTTGGGATAGCAAACGGGAGAAAAAAAGTTTTCTTACTTATATGTGAAACAGAACAGAAACTAAATACATTTAGTTATACACTCATTCATCGTCATATGATGCACTTTACTGTGAAACTCCCTAGCCAGAGATGCCCTCCCACAGCACCTCATCTACAGGGCCATCTAAGGTGTTCGAAATCGAGCACTTCTTGAAAGCACGACGAACAAGCACTTCGGGAATGCAGACCCAAGCCTCGACTAATATTCATGTGCACGGCATCACTGATGAGTCCAGTTTCAGCTGTCTGGCAGGGATCACTTCCAGCCCTCTGGACTTCATGATGTGGTTTTTAAATGGTTTATTCAGTCACACATCAAGGGTCCGCAGCCAAAATGTCCTCCCGGGGCGACGCGCTTGGCTCGTGGAAGCCGTGCAGCAGTTGCTTCGTGGAGATGATGCAGAAACGTGTGGAGAACGAGTGTCGATGGGAGCCCCAGCAGGGCTTCATTCCCCCTGAACAAAGTTTCTCAATTCCCGTTCAACATCAGAAAACTTTACATTTTTAAGCCCGTTGAATATTTTCAGGCTGCTGCACACAAAGAGGGCTTCTTTCTGTTTCTCCAACCGCAAATGCGTTGCTCATTTACGTCAAACTGCCGCCTTGCAGCACAGTTGCCAAACGTTCTGGCAGCTAGCATTGCCGGGCACCAAAATAACAAAACAAAGGACATCAAACAGCAAAACCATTTTTCGGGTATGATGCTTTTGTGTAAGTACACAATTCCCCAATCTCGGAAACACCACTCCCACTGCGACATTATGTTTGGCAAACTAGGAAATGCGTGAAAACAAAACAAAACAAAACAAAAAACGCCAGGCTTGCGCGGAAGGCGCAGCACAGTCACAGCGAAAGCTAGAAGAGCGGCCTTGCAGAGCCTTTCTTCAATGGGTGATTGCTGCAAGCACACTTGTTGGGGCCGAAATTTCGCATCACAAAAACTAGGGAAAAAAACAACAACCTTGGACTATACGCAGGTTTTTCTGTATACGGGAGGATTTGCAGAGCAAGCCTGCCGATTAAGCTGGCCACTCTGAATTTTGTCGATCAGTCTTACCACGTGAAAAGTCCTGGCACATTAAGAATGTAAATGTTACGTACAGTAATAGAAATGTGCTAGAGAGGTGGGCGAGTTGGAATTGATGCATATGTAAAAATCCCCGAGAACAGGACCGAGGAAGCGGACAGAAAGACCCAGTACGAGCGCTGACATATGGCACTTCTCCCTTGACAGTGCAGAACAATGGCAGCCGATTGAAAGAGGACTGGCTTCTACACTAACCCCTGTGTTGTGTGATTAAGGTTACTGTTACACCAGAAAACAGGCAAACATAAGTTGAGAATGAAAAAAAAATGAAGACAAGAAGAATTGCATTCCTCAGCCTGCGTAGGTACAGTGAGACCTTCTTATTTCGAACTCAATCATTAAGAAATCCCGCTTAATTTAAAGATTTCTACAGTCCTGTATATGGCAATATAAGTTTGAGCGGATCATTTGGAGTGGCAGTCAGCACCAGTCCAGTTAATTCGAAAACCTTGACTGCCATGTCCAACTTCCCAATCCCGATTTCTTTGCAAATCTGCGGAAACAGTGGCCCTTAGGAGCTTAGGAGCCACAAGGCAATGCAGTGTTGAGATACTAATGAATTATTTCAATACGACCGATGATGATGCCGACATTGTGGAACCATGCGCGAATGAGGGCACTGTGAATGAAGTGCGCAGCAAGAGCGATTTGAAGAAATCGAATGGCGAGGATAACGAAACTTTGTAGAGTCAGGGCTCACAAGCCTGCTTGTAGCAATTGGATACATTAATAGCCTCAAGCAGCTTGTATATGCCATGGGCCTCGGGGAAAACCACGCTGCTGCTTAAAATAAACTCAAGACCACCCTTATCACTTCTGCTGTTAGAAACACGTGCATCATGAACTTTTTTTGTAAAAAAAAATTTGTGTTTTGACTCACAACTTTTTTAAAGCTGTGTTTAATTTACTACAAACTTCAGGATACAGCAAACAAATGCCATGTCACACTCTGGTTTGTTATAAGCAGGCTTGACTGTACAGTGCCATTGCCGTTGCACAATGGTGAACGAGCACAATATGTTGCGAGTTCTTCACGTAGGTTGCTTTCGTGCACAAATGAGGCGTGCGTGTTGCTTTTGCTTCTTTGAAGTGCAAGTGTTAGTGTGCTCATGTAGAGAGAAAGTTATTTTGAACACAGAAGATGTGTCCTTTTGTGTGCTCGAAGCTTCGAGTGAGTACCGCAAACAAAAGATTGTCAGCCATATGTCCAAAAGTATATATGGGCTAGGAACGTGAAAATACCCGGATCTCGAAGACAGCTTGTTGACTAGCTGAAGCTTCTCCATATAGATAGAGGTTATCTAGGGAACGATTCTAGAACTGCATGCGATAAAATCGTATCCTTAAGTGATCTTAAAACCAGAAAAACTGTGCTTGTTTGGGATCGTTGGTGCATAGTAGATTAAAAAAATTTAAAAAGTAGAGGACCCTAAAGCTTCGTGTTTAGGAGTTGAACTCGATTGCGGTATCTTGTCGCTACTGCGTACTTCAAACAATTTGTGCATGAAACCTTTTAGAACTTGCTATGCACCCACTACCTGACCTGAAGAGAATAGGCACAGTAGCGTGTGTGCCTTTTGTGGTGGGTGATGGGCTTTAAACCATGAAGTCATTATGTTTATATTATGTTCCGACACCTGATGGCAAATGGACGCTTGTACAACGCATTATAACTGCAATACAGTATTTCATGTAGTATTTTAAAGAATGTACACAGGACGCATGCGCTTGTAAAGCATGAAAGTTACTATCACGGTATTTCCAAGCAGAGGAAGTTATTTTCACTGTATTCGTGAATAGAGTCGTGGCTGTGTGCCAGCCAAATATCCTACCACTGAGCTACGTTGGTGCTTAAAACTTGTTTTTCTATAGAATACTTGTACACCGTGTCTTGCAAAGTATCATACAAAAATTTACTATGTTTTTTCCACCTCCGTTGTACCATTCATGGTACTCCGATATGCCAGGTCATGATGTGTTGAAACCAGTGCGCAAAATGCATGTGCTTCCAAATTGAAAAACATTCTATGAACTACATACTGAAACGCTGCCCGTTAAAACATGGTTAAAAAGAAAAGGTATTTTTGTTTCCTGTGTTGACTGCCGCCTATGTGATGTGCCGGAAACAATGAAACACTGCTTTGTTAGTTGCAAAAATTCTATCTTGTTCTGGGATGTCCTTCAGTGGATTCAGAGAAAAAATTTTGACTAATTCTTACACTATTCGTTATCTTTCGCCGACATCACCTGATGAAGTGCCTTTTGATATGTTTTTCCTCATGGGTATGCACAGACTATGGAAGACGCATATGCAGGATTGCAACATAGAACCCACTATTTCTTCGAGCTCACATTTTATTAGAATGGCTGTCCACCTAAAAGACATTTATAATGAAATGCACTTCAAACCGGACTGGTACCCCATCTTGGTGAGGTGCTTGGCCTTGTCACCTGTTGTGTATAACGCAATTTGAAGAACTCTTGCTGCTCTACTAAAGTTCATTACTTGTCAAGTGTTTCCTTAGTAACCTACGTTCCATACTATGCGTGACATTTTATGTTCGTTTTAACACACATTGTAATAAATACCATGAAAAAAAAAAAAGAGAGATATGCTTGGCCATGTGGTAGAACATCTGCTTGCCACGCAAATGACCTGGGTTCGATCCACATTTGGACCGAAACAATCCTGGTTCTGTCCCCACTCTGCTCTAGGTTTTTTATCATTTATTTTATTTGCATCATTCTCAATTTTTCGATCACGCATAAGATGATTTTTCATTCACAACTGTTGACACTGACACCAAAATTTCTGCGAGACGAGCTCTTTAAGGCTTTTGCGTTAAAATAAAACAGCTCTCAAGACGGGATGAGAACACAAACACTGCCATTTTTGTGTCTGCCTTTCGTCCAATCTTAAAGGGCCCTGGAACACTTTTTAAGCACCATCATAAAACACTGCCGACCTGTAGTCAAGCCTCCCGAGAACATGCGAGCCAAACATTATAGTGCAGCACGCGTACTAAAATTCACAATTATTTCTCAAAGTCAGTCTGAAACTGTTCCCTCTTTTCTCAACAAATGATGCGATAAACCACGGCCACTGGAGAGCATCGTGAGCTGTGTAGTTGCTGCAGTCACCGCAGGGTGCCACCACGTGCCTGCACACTCACTCGCGATCTCGTGGCAGCCACAAGTTCACAGAACCAAAAAGGAAAGTGCTCAAAGTCATGATGCGCACTGACGAAAGAACACATCTCCTTGCCCCCTTGTCATTCCCCACCCTGTGTAGCTTCCAGCACACTCATTGGTATGAAAGAGAGAGAGAAAGCACTCAACACATACGACAAATCTCTCACTGTGCTTGTAATCTACAAATTTTAAAAATACTTGTCGCAGTTGATACGTAAGGAAATACAATACTTTTGGGTGTATAAGACATGTTCTGTTTTGGTACTTTTCCTGGTGCATATTATACAGTCAAACCCACTAATAATACTGAAGTGCATATAAAATTTTATTGTTATAACCAATAATTGCTATAAACAGGTTCCACAAAAAAAAAAAAAATTACAGGACAGCTGTCTGTTGTGACAAAGCTATAATATTGAATGGGATATGCAAACAATCATCAATGATAAGAATGACAAAATGGCCGATTTTTGGGACATGTTTGAAAGTT